CTACTCTATTGGAAAATGAAAAGATTTTTGGTTTTAGGAGGGAAAAGTTGGTGACAATGGAAAGATTTTTTGGACTAGTTGATGGTGATGGGATGTCATCTTTTTGATGTTACTCTACTTGGAAGACTTTTTGAGTTTTTCTTTTTTTCAAGAGGGGTGTATGTATTGTGTACATATATTTCTACTATTTTAATTTGCCCTACCAAATAATGTTACTGGGGCGGCTTTTTTGCTTGGAAGAGACAGATTTGACTGCCTACAAATGCTAAAAGATGATGTCGTCGACTGGGAGTTTTCTGCATAATCTTGAGCATTACTCTTGGCCAAAGGTGAACTAGTTCAAAACGAGAAGATGTGTCTACAGACAGGATTTCTGAAGACACATATTGCCACCAGTCCGTGCCCTTTATGTAGACATGATCCACCCATCGCACCCATAGATTATAAGCTTTTTGAGCAATGTTCCACACGTAATTTGCTACCGCAGCCTTGTTCCATATCACATATTTAGTGATTCCAGTCCTCCTTTTTTGGTCCGACACACCAAGTCCCATGCCACTAATGGAGCTCTAATTGTATTCACTTTTCCAGACCATGAAGTTTCTACATACTTCTGTTATTCCCTTCAAGACTTGTTTTGGCAACATGAACATAGAAGACCAGTAGGTTGTACATTTATGTTTCTTCACTGTTCAAAAAGAAATTCAATGGTTAAATTCAATTTGTCTTCTATATTTGAAAAGCTTCACTCAAATCCAGAAGTTGTTCAAAAAGAAATTCAAAAACTTCAGTCAATATTTAGTCAACTGATAATCTTTTGTGAGTGCCAACAACGATAACCATATAAAGTACCTCTAATATGTTTTTAAGTGAGCATATAGTATGAAAATTCTTTGTTCTATCAGTGCATAAAAGTTAAAACTCTCTTCTCAATCATCAAGGATCGGTTTTTTCTTTTTTTTAAAACGAAGTAGACTTTTATAATTGAATGTTTTGTGTGGCTTTATTTAGCCTGTAGGTCGTTAATACTAAATTCAATGTTCCATTATTTTCTTTGCTTGAACATAAAGTTTAATCAGCGCTGGGTGAAGGTTTTATTTTTGAAAGAAACAGCCAATAAGTCTGGAAAGGCAGAAGCGTCGGCTAGTCAGTCACAGACTACTTGACTTCCTTATGATGATCTATGTTGCGCGGACTCTTCATATTTGCAGGCGAACCCGTCTCGACGCGACACTGGTGCGGGTGCGGGGTGCGTGTCGGATTCGGTCAATCCGATCCGGACACTTTGACCGAAGCTGAGAAAATATTTAGGGAAGAAAAACTCAGTTTTCGGCTCCGGCGACGGAAAGAAGACAGTTGAATAAAGGCATGCTTGTGGAATAAACAATATAAATTCCAGCATATTCTAAGAGAAGGAAACCAGTTAGCGGACTATTTTGCAAACATTGCTTTAGACAAAGGAAGCTGCAGATACTCACAGTTTAAAAGCATAGAGACAAGAGGAAGGAAGATTTTAAACAGTGACAAGTTACAATGCTCATATTTAAGAATTGCACCAAACAGGGGATAAGAGGGGCAGGGAAGATACAACATCAGTTTTTTCACAAGCACAGCATATACAAGGAAAACGAGAGCACGAAGAGACTGAAGCGGTGGTTTCGCCAAGGCAGCATCAGTGCTTCAGGTGTTGGGTGGAAGGAAATAAAGTGGGAGTAAATGTTTTAGGAAACCCAAATCTAATGGGAAGTGTTTTGTAGGAAGAAAGTTTATTTAGTTATTTTAATTTTTCGTTTTGTCATTACAGACTTGGGCAATAGGCCCAAGTGAGTGTGTATTTTCTTTTTTTTCTTGAGTTATCAAATAAAAGGATCCCAAATTTAATTTTTTTTTAAAAAAGTACACAATACATATACCCTTGAAAAAAGGAAAGGTCAAAAAGTCTTCAAGTAATGTAGTGTCAGAAAAAGAAACATCCCATCAGCCATCAACTATAAAGTTTTTTCAACTGAAAATATTATATATATATATATATATA